AATATCCATAGTTATGTGCACACACACACTCTACATACATATGTGTGTGTATGTATGTATATAATGAATGGTGACCAACAAATCACTTCATTAGCTGTTCTACAGCCAAAGCATGTCAGCAAAAAAACCCTTCCCAGTACCACAGTCCTGTGGCGCCAGGAACTGTGAGAAAGAGCCATGGCTTAGATGGAAATGTTGTCCCAAGTAATTGAATAATCTCTTCTGAAGAGAGCCTGAACTTTTTTTTTGTCCCCACACTCTTATTGTTTCAAATGTAAAATAAGATGTTGTCATCTTCCAGACATTCCGAAAAAACAACAAGAAAAACCCATCGACATTACAAAGGAATAAATATTGGGATGGTACCAGGCTGAGTTGCTGGCAGTTAGTGTGATGGGTGTGTTTCTGGAAGGGAAAGAAATAGGCCAGCTTTTTCTCCACATAACCACAGTCATTGTCTAATCATAAGAGCCTAATTGATTGATAAACTGTTAGAAACATTTCTTTTCTTCTTTTTGGTAAAAGCTGTGATCTGCTACCAATTTGTCAGCTTGTTCTTGTAGCTCCCCCCTTAAAAACAAACAAACAGAAAACCCCATTTTTATAATTGAGATTCCCCATGAGAGCCGGTCATTGTTTTGAAGCTTTCAACAAAAAGCTAAGATTAATGGCGTGCGTTCCCAGATGTTACTCTTTCTAAGTTCATTTATCCCAGAATAAAGACACTTGTTTCTAAAAATACATGGTAGAAAGCTGTCTCATAAAACATCATCAAAGCTTGCTTGGTTTTGTTGCTATTTAATTTTTCATTACTCTATCAAAGTTTTGCCCACAGATTTCTCTGTAATCATTCAGATTTACAACAAGCCATTCTTTTAGTAACATTTGCGTTAGACTTACTCTAGTCTTCCTTTGGGGGCTTATTTTCATTTACCACACTTGTATTTTCCATTCTGGATCATAGTGGCCATTTAAAAACTGATGGTGAAGTTGGCTACTTCACCCATTTACGCAGCACGGCGCTGTTTTGCCGCCAGGCATAAATCTTCCATCAGTAGCGTCTCATGTCACCAGGAATTGCTAAGCATTTATTTCTTCCAAATGACACCGATGGCAAGTTTATTATTTTGTCACTGATGCAATTCATTGCAAATTTATTAGAAACTTCACAGACTTGCCATTAACTGAAACAATTCTTAGAAATGCAATGCAGAGCCATTAGGGGATGCAGTGGGGGGAAATTAGGGGGTTCATTCTTTCCACAGTCATCAGAAATTTCCTGAAAAGCCTAAATACAATCCTTTTTCCAAGGAGGAACTTTATCAGAGTGCTGTGCAGAGGGTCTCAGCCCCAGACTCAAGTTAAAGAGCGCCCAGAACTATTTCCTCCCTCATCTGTTTGCAAAGTTTGTGCAATTATTTATACAGCATGCTGTTTTTTCCTCAAAAAGAAATTCCTCAGGACTCTATTTTTAACAACAGCGAAATACCAGCAGGCCAGCTTTTGAGAATATCCCTATGAGAGCAAAACATTATAGTCGCGGCTACAGTTACAAATGCCTCTGGCTCTCAGGCGTGTCTGGGACAAGCGCCGGGGAGGTTGAGGATGGGCAAGACTCCTTCCCTGGCACATAAAAAAGGTCATGCGATGGTATAAGAGAGCATCCCAATAGCTGCTCTGGGGGCCAAACTGGTGGTCAGAGTCCTGGATAATAATCCTAGCAATGATCTTCTGGTAGAGGTCCAGTGAGGTCATCACGGGCTTTCCACGGACTTCAGAGCAAGTTGGAAATAACTGTAGGTGGGGTCTGGAGCTCTTTGCGTCTTTTTTTTCTCATGTTTCTGTCTTAAGAGGCTTTGGGATTTAAAAAGAAGACTAAAATGAAGATAGCAGATTATTGGCTAAATATTGTTGTTCTCACCTAACTCAAAAAGCCGATTTGGTATGACTGAATAAGACGTGTGAGCCTCACTATTACAGATGTAAGTGTGGGGGGGTTTAAAATAGTGAAAGTGCTGTGAAATCTCTGGAGGAAGCTACAAAAGCATATATTTCCTTTACTGTCTTGGCATTCCCACCCAAAAGTTGAAAAGGTCTGAGAACTTCTGAAGCAACAAAGAAGTAAAAAAAAAAAAAAATCTGCGTTACTTGTGGTCTCCTTCTTACCTTTTATTCTTATTCATAACAAGGGAAAAACATCCTTACTTTGGTCCTTAATAATAGCTGCCATGAACCAGAAGCTTGGCTCCAAACTGTATCCAAATTTTAAGACAAGTCACATGGAGATCAGCAGGATGGTACTGACAGAGTCTTACTCAGAGAGATACGAGCTTTTCCCAGTTGTGTTGTGAGATTTTTGGAAGGGAAAAAGAAGAAGACGGGGCTTCAATGTTGTGCTTCAGCAAGTGTCCAGACATAAATGCAGTTATTTCTGACTTGAGTGTGAATAAGGACCATGTGGAGTATGTCAGAAAGACATCCACACATGAGGAAAGTCTTCTGGTTTCAGATTTTGTCTCAGGCTCACAATCAAATCCTGGTTTACCCAGGATGCCCAAAACTGCCAAATTTCAGGTGACTGTAGGTCAGATTTCAAGTTTGCCTGGATTCTCAGAAGGGACTTGTGATTTCACCTTGAAATTGCACAAAACTCTCTAGGTGCTTTTGTAAAGGTCCAACCCATAAACAAAGAAAATGTATCCTGGGTTCCAGAGTTTTGTTCTAACCCTCGGTTTCAGTCAGTCTCAAATTCAGAATGTCTAATTTATACAAATAGCAGACAATCTCAGATGAACCAAAATCACTAAGTATTGTATACTGTACAACTTTGCATATTCATTTCATGGGAATGTATATCGTAACACCAATATTATTTCTAAACATGACCCCCAAACCATCTTTTCTATGAGCACATTCCTCGGGATTTGATGGATTATACTTAAAAACAAAAACAAAAAGCTACATCAAATCCTTTCAGTCTTCCGTAGTTTTTGAAAACGATACAGTGCATTAAGAATTATAATTAATATATACGGGTATAAATAACTACCAAAAAATGCCAACAACAAAAAAGTGGGTAAATACCAAAACAGTATTTATAAAAAAGTGTATTTGGGAAAAAAAAACCTATATTGTCAGTATTTTCAAACCTTTTTATTCCTGTCTCAGAAACATGAAAGTAAGTGTTATAATTTGTTTTTGCAAGAACATTTGCAAAAAATTAAGTTTTTAGAAATGTTAAAAAAAATGCATTTGCATGAATGCTGCTACCAGAAATATCTGTAAAAATACACACTTCTTTGGTTTGCTTATGTCCCTTTGCTGATGAAATTCTGATGAAGAGTAAAAATATAATTTGCTTAATAAGAATCAGCAATGATGTGGTCTAGTGGTTACTGGGCTATATTTGGAACTGGGGGACCTGGGATCAGTGCCTGGCTCAGATGCTGAGCCGCCTTCTGTCCTTGGGCAAGGGACTTTACTGTTCTCCATCTATGCATACACTTTTACTCTTTTGTCCCTCTTTCACATCTAGACTGTGACATGTTCAAAACAGGACATGCCTGAGCGTCTTCGTGGGAGTGGCACAGTGCCCACCACAGAGGGTTGCCCATTTGAGCAGGGATGATGATGCATCTAGCAGTAATAAATGCTCCCTTGCAGTTTAACACGTGGCTTCCACCTTCTTTTACATCCAAACACAACGCATGACGCTGAGGCAAAATACCCAGGCGAAGAGAATCGATCAGACCTCTAGCTGGTCTTCCAAGCTGCTGGTCTTCCAAGACCATGGCAGCGACTTTTGGGAAAAAAAAGATTGTGCCCTTCTTAAGGATGCTCTTCTGTCTGGCTCTTCAGTCATCTGTCTCCTTCGCATCTGGAGACTTCAGTATCAACCATCATTTGAGTATCTATCTTGACTCTACGCTTGAGATTACGCCCCATAACTGGCCTCTTCTGCCATGTTGGATTTATATAGCACTTTCATCCATTTTTTCATGGATAACTGCCCATACTGCACACCTTCACTTCCAGCGCACAGCCAACTGCAATCCCCAGGAGGTTTTTGATGCATGGACTGAGCATTAATAAGCAGTAAGACATTTGTACTGCTTCTGTCACCACCAATTCAACCACCTCTGCCCCCCTCAGCGGCTAGTGCTCGGTGAAAGCACACGCTTTTAGAGGAGATTTCAGTCTAACTTTGGGGGCTAGGTGTGGAGGAGTGGTATATTAGAGTCTCCTACAACACTGGAGGGTGGAAGCAGAATTTTTTCACCTGGGGGAAAACACTTTGAAGGGTATAGTAAAACCTCTCCTGAGGCAGAAGGATTTGTTGTGTTGTTTAAAGGGCAATCTTTGCGAGCTATGAGGATTGTTATTCGATGGACATAAATCGACGTAGCTCCATGATGTTTATTGTTTCATTGCAAGCAACCCAGTCATGGTTGTAGACATGAAACTGTTTCTTCTTCCAAAGTGACACTTACGCAGCAGTTTGTAGCCCGCCAGCGAGAAAGGGACAGTTGTGTGTTTGGTACGAAGTGTATCTTTCGTTAGAACTGTGGTCAAAGAAGTGTTTTGGTTTTGGATGGAATAAATAGCTGCAAGTGCTGTGGGAGTTCAGCAGTGCAGACACTCAGTCCTGTCCCGTCACAAGCCCCAACATCTCTTCCTAGATTTTTGCAGAGGAGATGAAAAGCAAGGATTTATCATTATGCCAAACAGCTACAGCAAAGTCCTCTCTGTTACCAGTAGGACTGGAAAGAAGGCTTAGAAAGCAGAAACGTTTAGGGGGCATCTATAATACATGGTCAGCTCTGAATAAAAAGGAACAGCAACAAAACGCAAATATTAGGTGCCATCAGGTAATCTGATGCGGGTGTGGGATAACAGCAGAGCGAGGGGTAAGTTCTCGGGGAACGCCTCCTGCCACCAAGCCAGCCTCCCCCCGTCCTCCAGCGCACACGTATCCCCATCCCTTGTCCTTTCTGGAATACCTTTCTTCCAGCCTCATTGTTGTGCAAGTTCATCAGCCTCCGGGCATTCTTTTTGATTTCTCGGGCATCAACAAATCTCCGGGAGAACTCAATGCCGTATCTGATATCCGCAGAGCAGCCTCCCCACTTCCAGCCCTCCTCCTGGTTGTAGTAGCCCTGTTTCTCTCGGTCACAGCCACAATTGCTGAGGTTGCCCTGGCTGCAGGCGGCCGTGACAGCGTGTGCAACCCCGGCAGCAGTAATGGCATAGGTGAACGCAGCTTCCCTGCTTCCTGTGGAGAGAAGCCAAAAGCTGATGGGTTGGCAGAAAGGCAGCACTTACCTACTAAAGAAAGTACACACATTATCTACAGCAACGGTGTCAGGCAGCAATGTGAGGAGGGCATTACTACTGGGTGTGTATTTCTCATTCTTACAGCATTACATACATACTTAAAACGCTTGGCTCAACTGGGGCGTATCACCCCAGGTAAGCACCAGCCGTATGATAGTCCCACCTAACCCCCTTCACCAGAGGGAAATTTTGCAATGAGTCTGGACAGTGGTGAGGTGAGGCAACAGGATTTTTTTTTTTACACTGCCTAGTCATGTTTGCAGCTGAACTTCAGCTATTTCAGATGAATAATAAGCAAGTCACTGGCGGCAATGCTCACCAGAAAACAACAGTCACCTCTAGCCATTGGCACTGTCTGGAAAAAGAAAAGCATTCAGGCAACGTCGAAAATACCAGACCCTTTCAGATACCCTCAGCGAGAGGGCTAGGACACAAACGGGGAAGATTATTAATCCGCCTTTATAAATGCCCCAGTAGCATCCGTTAGTGATGCTGCGTGTGAAGTATTCCAAGGGAGGCCTACAGAGACAAGAGCTGGGTAGGTTTTGTTTTCTTTCAAGGCAAAGTAGAGGCTACCCCTTTCCCTTGCTGGCTTCTCTCACCTATTAGTTTTGCTGTAACAACCCTTTTCCACTCACACTCTGGCTCAAACCTCTGCGTTACCTTGGCTAATGAGCATACGAGAGGTATGGAAGTGCTGTGGCAGCACTATTTCCTCTACAAAACGAGTGAGATGCTGTCATGGAAGTACAGTCTTCCTCAGAAAAAGGTCTTTTTGGAAAGAAGTTCTTTTTTTTTTTTTTTCTATGATCCAGTATTTGCCAAGGTTCCTCATCACCAATTCCATGTTATAGCTGCTGATATTGAGTATACGAAGAGAGGTAAATAAGTCCCCTTTCTTTACCGACACTGGTTGGCCGAGTGGCCTATAGGGTGCACATAAGCAAGGACAAACAGAGGCAGAACTATCGAGACCACAGTCACTGGCTTCCTGTAGGGATGGATCATGGCCCTTAGTGTTTTGTTGTTCTTATTATAACGTCTCCCTACAAGTTCCCTTCTCAGTGCTATCGTCCTTTTCCTCTGTTTATCTGGTGATAAACAGACAATCTTCTAATACTGCAGCCAAAGAATAACTGTAAAGAATTTGATGAAAGTTGCTGAAATGCCTAAATGACCACACACAGAGCTTTAACATAGTTAATGGATTTGGGAAGGAAAAAAAAGAACAAATTTTCCAGGGGAGAAAATAAAAACAAAAAACTTTGAAGCTATTTTTAATTTTTTATTTTAAGACTCATAGATATCATAACTATTCTGAAATGACCAGTGCTCGGGGGGGAGGGGTGTCTGTCTTATATTTCTTATTTTCATAGATAGCTTCCTGAAAGGTTACACCACTGCCGGATACGAGAAAGATCCTACAAGAAACAATCATAAACTGCTTTTTGGCACCATTTACTTGTTTCTCCAAAGCAATAAAAACGAAACTTAAGGTAAGAGAAAACAAAGAGGTGCTGTGTTCTTCAGGTACCAAGAAGGTTAAGCTGACTTTTGTATTATTTGAGTACATCGTGCAATGGAAGGACTGACTTTGCTTTCAGACACAGAAGTGTTTTGTTGGGGTGTACGATGTGTGTAGTCTGGTTCAGTGGTTCCCAAACCGTGGTCCGCAGAACACTGGTGGTCCAGGAGGCCACGGTAAAGGGTTCACAGCTAATCCACAGAGCCATATTAAACACTGTTTTTAATAGTGTTTTCAATTAAAAGTTTGATGATAACGATGCCTGGTGGTCCACAAGAAATCCTGAGGCTTGATAGCAATCCAAAAAAGTTTGGGAACCACTGTTCTAGTTCCCAGCCTGTTCTCTAAAAATGTATATCGATATTCACTCCTCTCTTCTTCACCCACCAACTTAAGTCAAATCTTGGACCCATGTTTTGAAATGTATCCTGTTGACTTGCAGGATTTCTTTCTTCATCTTCTTTAAAAAAAATCTATTCTTAATATATAAATTGAAAGGTTGGAAATAAGAGATGTAATAGAAACTACATACATAGATATATTTTCCTTTTCTTCAGATGAGGGTAAACGAGAATGCAAAATCAGACCTGGGAAAATTTTTTGTTCAGACACCTTGGAAACACATGTAGAAATGCTTATAAACAAGCAGAAACGTATTTCTGTCAGGGAACGTAGCAGCTGTGAGCTACAGTTCAGTAGATTTACTCAGAGATTAACCAGAGAGAAGTTGCTTATGTTTTATGTTTAAGCTCAATGTATTCCACATGTATCCAGAGTAGAAGGTAAGCCATTTTATCATGGCCACTGTGTCTGTGATCTGTCCATGAGTTTTCGCATGGTGGTTCCCTTGATCAGTTTTGTAAAACTAAAGAATATCCTGTCTTTATCTTCCTTTCGCTCGCCCTCGTTCCCATTACACCCCTGATTACCTTCAGGAATAGAGGAAAACATCTTTCCTTCACCCACTTGAGAGCTATAGCAGTGATGGAATTATCTCAAGTCATGGGGCAATACCAAATGGAAACCATATTAACTCTCTGAAGAGATTAGTCTTCTGTTTCAATGCAGCTCTAAAATAAGAAGGGCTCAGAAATATGATCTGGCTTGAAAATCAGATTCCTTTTGCAAGTTAAGTTGTCCTGCTAAGAATTAAGGGGTTTTTTGTTTTATTTTTTTTTTAACCAGAGGATGTTCCAAAACTTCCCTTGAACTTCAGTGTAAGCATTACCTCAGCAGTTCTCTAAAGTCCTAGGATCAGTAGAGTCTATTAGAAAACGCTGATGGGGGAGGGAGGCGAACCTCTGTGCCCAAATAATACGTCTGCTGTACACAAAGCTTTCCATTAGCGTGTCATCACTTGGAATCGGTTCTAAGCAAGTCTTTGTTAGGCAGCTAAAAATATTTAAGTAGTGATTGCTGTGATACCTGAATGGAGAACAATGATCTCATTTTATGGAATTTTTTGAGATTTCAAAAATATTCTTGTTATGCAGCGAAACAGAGACAAGTCTTTCCAGAAATGTTAACAAAATGAAGAAACACATATAAATAGCAGCAGATTTGGGATTTGACACAACTTTGAAGCTAGACTTTTCTTTTTCCAGTGAATATCTTGGTCATTTGGTTATTTGGCATTGCATATGCTCAGTATCTCTGTCTCAGAAGAAAAATTCTTGTTTGACTCCTTAAAGTTTTCTGTCACATAGACGAGAATAATTCTGTCAAGGTTTTATTTTGCTGGAAAATACACTGGTCTGGCTTTTACTGCGGCCCTTGGATTCATACATTTCCCTGTTAGAAATGCCTGCTTTGGTGTGAAGGACAACAGTTCTGATTTAATTCCCAAAACATAGAATGAATGTTTTCATGAGTAACGTGAATATTACTCTGTCTGATCTACTAACTGTCTGATCTAATAACTCCAACAGGACATGACCACCAGCACTAATTGAAACGAAACCTTTTGTCTTTGGTGAAGGTGGTGAAGGTCACTTGCAGTCTGCCAGGCCATGAGAGAAACCTTGCCTGTGGTCTGCTGGTCTGAGTTACTGTCATTCGCTGGAGTTCATTTGCATTCTGACTGAGGACTGTATTTTAAAAGTGCTCTAATACCGTGCAATGCAGGCAGTTGCTGCTCAGACAGACGGATATTGGATCATTGCTTCCTTAAACGAGTGATTTCTGGCAGATAGGGTGAGAGGAGCCTATTTATCTGTTGTTGGAGTCATGGAGCAGCCTATACTTTACCCCTAATTTAGGTGTCATCTCTGACTAAGTTTTAGACTGCTAACTGAGCACTACACTTATTACAGTCTAATGTGGAAATTATTACAAGTTCCATAATTGCTGTAGTTTACTACACTTGAACTTGCATATATTCAGCAGTGTATTTTCAGCATGTAACCACAATCAGCTGAGAATCATATGTGTTAAATACATATTTTGATCATTCAGCTGTGAGTGCAGGGTTAAAAATTTAACTGTTTCATAGTTACTAGAAAGGCATCTATTTGTCTGAGTAACTAGATGAGAATATTGCTGACTATGTTTTATTGGTGAGATACTGGCATGGGTTGCCCAGAGAGGTGGTAGATGTCCCATCCCTGGAAACATTCCAGGTCAAGTTGGATGAGTCTCTGAGCAACCAGATCTAGTTGAAGATGTCCCAGCTCATTGCAGGGGTGTTGGAATAAATAACCTTTAAAGGTCCCTTCTAACCCAACTATTCTATGATTCTGTGATTGCCATCCCACACATCATTCTGAAATGTCTTACGTCAGCAGCTAGATGAATAAGACTGCCACTGAATGTCAGCTATGAGAACTGTAATTTAACTTGAAATATTAAACTGTAGAATATACACTGTTTAGCCAGAAATTTGCTAAATCTTGGATCAACACTGATAGAAAATATACTACATGCTGCTGTTAAACAAAACAAATTCCTCATGTACTTACACAAGACATCAGATTGTTTATATGACACAATACAATATAGGTCAGTGGTAACAAGAAATGAACCACGGCAGAAGTTTGATTTTTTTGCCAAACCTATTTTTTTCAACAAGTCTTATTTTGTGAGTGAAAGCTGAGGGCACATTGAATCATTTTTATGGGCAAAAGACAATAGATACATCCAGATGTGTAAACTAAAACTCAGACAACAGCATCCTAAGTAGGGTTGGATGAAGACTTATACAGACAAGTTTAGATCCTTTGTAATTTTGTATTTTTTTCAACTCATTCATTAGCAATTCTCAAGAAAAATAGTGCAGGGTTCAATCCAAGGGCAATACAAGTCTGTGAGAGATTTCTCACCGTCTGGAGTAGATTGTTTCTCTATTTGCATTTTCAGTGTAATTAATTTGGGGCTTCTTGGTTTATAATCTAAAAACAGGGGCTGGTTTAATTTCTATATCTCTCTAATTTATGATACCCAGTGCTGCATATCAGAACTATAGACCAGTGAAACCAGTTTGTACAAGCAGAAAAAACACCACAGAAAAGCAGGGCTGGCAGGAACTTCAGGAGTGTCCCTAACATAGGCTAACAACACAGGTGTCCTTCACAACAGCTTTTTATTTATCCTGTTCTTAAAGATCTTCAGTTGTGGAGGTTCCACAGTCTCTTCCAGTGCCTCAGGACCCCTAGAGGTACATGTTTCACGAATAATCTGAAAGTGTCTTTCTGAACGCAAACCCACTGCTGCTTTCTCTGCAGATGCTAAGGACCAATTACTCCCTTCTTCTAGCAGCAGCCTTTAAATATTTAAAGATTTCCACCCTTCCTAGATGTGTCCCATCGTCAGTCCTTGCAGAGCACTTTCAAGAGCTCTGATCTCTCCCGCTGCTCTCCCAACAGGCTGGCCGGTGCCTTGCGGTGGGGTGACAGGGTGTTCCAGCTGAGGTCTTGCCTGCTCAGAGTTAGAGCAGAACCAGCACTTCATATGTCTCTTATGCTACAGTCCTGTTTACTCATGCCAAGCATGGTGTTTTCACAGCAGCAGGACACTTTTGACTCTTACTCAGTTTGCAGTCGTCTTCTCTGCAGTTGCTATCACACCAGATGTTTCCCATCTTTCATTTGTGCAGCTGATTATTCCCACGTATAGATCTTTGTATTTGTCTTTCTGATTTGACTCCTCTTTTTTTTTTCTTTTATCTTCTTTCCCAGACCATTTCCCGATGATCATTTCCTGTTTTGACCCAAGCTTACTCCAGCTTCCTCGTAGTCCTTCCCAGCCTGACATCATTTGCAAATTCAGCCTGCACAGATTATTCCCTTGGTCAAGTCAAGAGTATAATACTGACGGGTACCAGATCCAGCACAGATCACAAGGAAACCTAGTTGGCACACCCTTCCATTTTGATAACTACCCACCAAGTACAATTTCCAGATGGTATGTACCCATTTAGCATTTCCTTAGTTTTCGTATGAGAATGTCATATAAAGCAGTGTCAAAAGTTTCATTTAAGTCCAAGATA